CTCCCAAAATGCTGGGATTACAGGCATGAGCCACTGTGCCTGGCCCAATTCTTCTTTATGCTATAATTTAGTTGTTGGGTCCCTTCATTATCTCACCATCCCATGGCTCAATCTACATTCACTACATAGATGATCTTTTTTTTTTTTTTTTTTTTTGAGACAGAATCTCGCTCTCTCGCTCTGTCGCCCAGTCTGGAGTGCAGTGGTGCGATCTCGGCTCACTGCAAGCTCCACCTCCTGGGTTCACGTCATTCTCCTGCCTCAGCCTCCCGAGTAGCTGGGACTACAGGCGCCTGCCACCACGCCCGGCAAATTTTTTTGTGTTTTTTAGTAGATACGGGGTTTCACCGTGTTAGCCAGGATGGTCTCGATCTCCTGACCTCGTGATCCACCCACCTTGGCCTCCCAAAGTGCTGGGATTACAGGCATGAGCCACCATGCCCTGCCACATTGATCTTATGCCCCCACACCAGTTATTTCTCCTACACGTTTCCCCCAATGAACAATAGTCCAATAGGCTTGGTATGTATACTAGCTGGTTGTTTATCTCTGTTTGGTATTCACTGGACTTAGGCCTTTACAAATACTCTCTTGCCTGTTATTTAAGTAGATTTTAGGAAAGGAGTACAAGTAGATGAATACTTTTAATTAATCATGGTTATCTAGAAGTACCCAGCATTTCATAAAAGAGTAGCATATTCTAGATTGTTCCTATTTGCATTACTCCATGTATAATAGATTGAAGTCTCAGGGCTGACCCAAAGCACTACTGAACACTAGCAGTGCTAAGCACATTTGTAAAACTTAAAAGTGCAAAGCGGGATGGTTCAGAGGTCCTTGGCACTGCAAAACATATTCAACAGAGGAGTTGCTTGAACATGCCTTGCTCTTTCTTGTGTCTGTGCATTCTTCCAGGGGTGTCCATCTGGCCAACTCCTCTTCCTTTTCAAAACTCAAATGCTGCCTTCTCTGCAGAATCTCCCTCACTTCCCGGGGTCAACAGATGTTGGAGTTGCTTCTGTTGTGCATCCCTTGCATCAGCATTAACCCAATCAACGTAAGCATTTGTAGTTGTTACTTTCAATATCTGTCTCTTCATTACATCTTAAGCTTCTTGAGGGAAGGATTGTGCCATTATAACTGTATCCTCTGCACCAGTGTAAAATGTTCCACGAAATATTTTTTGAGCGAAAGAATGCTAGGCATGAGGAAGCCATTAAGATCAATGAGACATGAAGTATGCCCTCAAAAAACTTATACTCTAGTGAGAGAGAGTTTGCACATAGAAACATATACAGTAGTAAGTACCAAGTACCATAACAGGGATGAAAATAAAATTCCATAGGAATTCAAAGGAAGGAAGCAATTCCATCCAGATGAAGGAAACTTAGAGATGTTACAAATATCTAGGATTTCACATTTTAAAGATTATGATAGGCTCACGCCTGTAATCCCAGCCCTTTAGGAGGCCGAGGCAGGTGGATCACCTGAGGTCAGGAGTTCGAGACCAGCCTGACCAACATGGCGAAACCCTATCTCTACTAAAAATACAAAAATTAGCCGGGTGTGGTAGCGGGTCCCTGTAGTCTCAGCTATTTGGGAGGCTGGGGTGGGAGGACTGCTTGAGCCCAGGAGGTAGAGGCTGCAGTGAGCCGAGATTGCCCCACTGCACTCCAGCCTGACGACAGTGTGAGACTGTGTCTCAAAATAAATAAATAAATAAATAAAGATTATGATAAAGACAGTGAAGGTGAAAAAGGCTAGAACCTTCTAGATTAAAATGAGAAGAACATGAGCTAAGTCTACAGACAGGAAAGCTTAGGATACAAGTAGGGAAGAGAAAGATGTTCAGTTCAATCAAACTGGTGTATGCATTGAATGTTTTATAACAGTCTCAGGGCCTTGAACAATACATGAAGTAAGCATAAATTTCTAACTTCATGAAAATGTATGTTAATTTATAAATTAATTTATAGACTGGCTGAACATATCAGTCTTCTAAGTAAACATAAAACATCCTATGTAGTGCAGAATAAAATTGATCTATGAATTAATATACCATTTTAATTGTCTTTATATTAATTTTTATTTTAAAAGTAATATATATATGCATTCACAGAATACTGAGAAAACTCCAATTTTTAATTATACTTAACATTCTAGTATGTTATCTCATTTTTTCATATATCATCCCAGGAACATTTCCTCAGAACATGAACTATTGTTCTGAAGCATGCTCTCTAATGGACTGGCTGCATATTGTACTATTGTATGGATGGATATACTAAAATGCCTGTAATCAATTCTTTACTACTGGAAAATTAGGGGAGTCCAATATTTTTGTTATAAATAATGAAGTATTGAACATTCATATGCATAACTTTTTGCCCTGATCTGATTATTTTCTTACTATAAATTTCTCTAAATCGAATCTCTTGATCAAAGGATGAAAACAGTTAAATTTTTTTCATACATATTGCCAAATTGCCCTCCTAATGGCACTCTCTCCAGCCATGAATGAGGAGGTCTGATTCCCTGACTGTTGATAAGACCGAGTATAATAAATTTTGAAAAATCTTTGCCAAATGTAATAGATGAGAAATGGTACCTTGCTAAAAAGTTTTGAATTTCCTTGATTAATAGGGAAGGATAAGCATGTTTTCTTAGGTGTACTGGTCATTTCCTTCTCTCTCTCTCTCTTTTTGTTTTTTGAAGACTTCTGTCTCCAGTGAGATGGGGTCTTACTCTGTTACCCAGGTTAGAATGCAGTGGCATGATCTCCGCTCACTGCAGCCTCCACTTCTTGAGCTCAAGTGATCTTCCCACCTCAGCCTCCCAACTAGCTGGGACGACAGGCTAGGTTAATTTTTGTAGTTTTTGTAGAGATGGGTTTCGCCATGTTGGCCAGGCTGGTCTTGAACTCCGGAGCTCAACTGATCCACCCGCCTCAGCCTCCCAAAGGGCTGGGATTACAGGCAGGAGCCACTGCACCCAGCCTCCTCCTCTTTTTTAATGATTTGCTTTCCACATTCACTGGAAGGTAAGGTGAAGCTCCTTTTCTGTGTGTGCTTTGTTCAATGCTGTAGCCTTAGCACTGGCTGGGTGCAGTCTACATTTATGAAAGTTTTTTTTGAATGAATATATTTATTAATTGGATGTCAACCTTTTAAAAATGTTATTTATAAAATCTGCATAGGTATATATAAAATTTATTAATTCTGGCAAATAGTTTACCCAATATCTCATTTCTTTTTTAGTTTCATTTATGGTACTTTTTTGTCAAAGGGAGTCTCTCAAACTACTGTGATTTAACATTTGACAGTTAAAAGTCTCTTTTTTCTCAATTTAGTCTTTTTCAAGTTTCAAAAAAAACTTTTGGTATTCTGATTAGAATTTTGTTTAATAAATAAACTGTAGAGGCAATATTTTTATAATCATGAATATTTCCATCTAGAAACATATGTTCATTTAAATAAAATCCTTATGTACCTCAGTTTTGCAGCTGTCTTCATGTAGAGTCAGAACAACTCTTTATCTTTATTCCTAAACTTTTGTTGTTGTTAATATTTGAATGGGATCCTTCTCCACTAGTTTTTTTTTTTTTTTTTTTTTTTTTTTTTGAGACAGAGTCTCGCTCTGTCATCCAGGTGGGAGTGCAGTGGTGTGATCTCAGCTCACTGCAACCTCCGCCTCCTGGGTTCAAGCAATCCTCATACCTCAGCCTCCCGACTAGCTGGTACTACAGGCGCCTGCCACCACACCTAGGTAATTTTTATATTTTTAGTAGAGACAGGGGTTCACCGTGTTGGCCAGGCTGGTCTCAAACTCGTGAGTACAAGTGATCCACCTGCCTCGGCCTCCCAAAGTGCTGGGATTACAGGCATGAGACACTGCACCCAGCCATCCTCTGTTAGATTTTCTAAAGTGCTGTTTGATACAAAGGCTGTTAGTTTTTGCATGTGGAATTTGTAGTGTTATAGGGGTCACTGTACTGAATTCTATTGGTTTTAATAACTCTTTAGGTGGTTCTCTTAGAGTTTGTAGATCAGTAATATCTTGCAAATAATGACCATTTTATTTCATTTCCAAAAGCTATGTTTTATTTGCTTTTCTTATTACATTACATTGGCTAGAGTTCTCAGAACAACATTACGTTATAGTGGTGACAGCTGACATCCTTGTCTTGTTTCCTCACATTAATGAAAGTTCTTTTAGTTTTACCATTGAGTATAAAATTGGCAGTTGATTTGAAGAGAGGTGTGTGTGCCAACACTTTGGGAAGCAGAGGCAGGTGGATCATGAGGTCAGGAGTTGAAGACCAGCCTGGCCAAGATGGTGAAACCCCATCTCTAGTAAAAATACAAAAATTAGCTGGGTGTGGTGGCAGGCGCCTGTAATCCTAGCTACTCGGGAGGCTGAGGCAGAGAATTGCTTGAACCCAGGAGGTGGAGTTTGCAGTGTGCTGAGATTGTGCCATTGCACCCTAGCCTGGGCAACAGAGTGAGATTCCATCTCAAAAAAAAAAAAAAAAAAAAAAAGAAAAGAAAAGAAAAAAGAAACTATTCTTTTAACCCTAGATGCTAGGGATTAAAAAAAAAAAATCATCAGGAAAGCATGTTGAATTTATCGACATTTCAAATTTTCAAATTTATCAATTATATGTATTTTTTATCCTTTAACTTGTTAGTGAATCACATGAATAGGTTTCCTAGTATCAAACCATGGTTCATTCCTTGAATTCAGATAATCCAATATGCAATTCAGCCTCAAATTCATTTTTATTTTATATCTGCAGTAGGCTTTTCTTCCTAATTATAACTCCTATAGGTAAATCATTGTTTGCCTTTTGAAGACATCCTAACTGAGACTGGACGGGGTAGCCAGATGCATTTTGGTAGAGAGGGGAATTGCGGCTGGGATTTGAAATCTGCTATGGTTAATTCCACAGAAAATGAAACTGAGAACTGGCTGTAAGGAATTTCAGTTTCCAGATTACTTACCCATTTGGGTTTCTTTCCAGCTCGTTTAAAAGTGTATGATCACAGTATTCAAAAACTAAATGCATTTTCCTTTTTCTCCTGAACACCTCAATGAGGTTCACAAGATTTGGATGTTTTAATTGCTGTGAAAGAATTGAAATGCAAAGTTAAGTGATCTGTTACTAGTAAAAGCGTCTCCCCAGACCCCTTAAAGAAACTTAACGTTGGAAGAGATTTAAGATTCATCCAATGTACCTATAATAAGTGGTAACAAAACTGCTTGAATCTCTCTGGTGATAGCAAGTAAAGTATGTAACTTAAAACACTGCACTAAAACAAAGACCACTTTATGTATTTTATGGAAATTCTATATATTCAAGTCATAAAATAACCTGAGTAGAAAATTGAGGAAATGAAATTATTGAGTAAGGACTATAAAAATCATCAATACCCACTCAGCTTACATATTGCCATGGATTTTATGGATTTAAATCCAGTCTGGATTCTAGTGTTGGCTCCCAGTAATACTAGTTCTTAACCATCAAATTGGAAAAAACTGTCTCTTCTAGAAGTCCCCACAATTAGTCGGTGTTTTAAATTTACTTACTATATTTTCAGCATTGTTCTTTGATTCTGTTGTTCTCTCTTATGCATAGATATTTTGTGTGTTAAATTCTATTCCCAAACAGAAGCATTTTACAACACAGCCTCTGCTTAATATTGTAAACCTAAGGGAAAATGCTGATTAGGTAGGATAGACTATCACTACAGCGATTATAGAATTTTATCCTCCAAACTAGGGTAATGGGTAGAAGCCAGGACTATCCTAGTCAAACCAGCACATATGGTCACTCTGCCTGTAACTAGGGTGACCACATAATTTAGCATACACACCAGGACACTTTTTTTTTTCTTCGCTCTATCGCCCAGGCTGAAGTGCAGTGGTGTCATCTCAGCTCACTGCAACCTCTGCCTCCTGGGTTCAAGTGATGCTTATGCCTCAGCCTTCGCAGTAGCTGGGACTACAGGTGCGTGCTACCATGCCTGGCTAATTTTCGTATTTTTAGTAGAGACGGGGTTTCACCGTGTTGGACAGGCTGGTCTCAAACTCCTGACCTCAAGTGATCCATCTGCCTCGGCTTTCCAAAGTGCTGGGATTACAGGTGTGAGTCACTGGGCCTGGCCACACCAGGACACTTTGGAAAGGAGATGTGAACCAGGCAGGACACTGGGACAAAAACTATAAAGCAGAACTGTCTTGGGCAAATTAGGATACGTGATCACTCTTATTCCTAACCCATCTTCCCTGTTGTTTTCCCAGTGTAGTAGACAAATCAACTTTCCACACTCTCTACCATTTACCCAGAAAGATATATAGAGAGAACACAGCATTTTGCATATAGTAGAAGCTCAACAAATAGCAGGCCCAGTAGAAAGTTTTAGGTACAGAGACTTACGATGCATGCCTCTACCTCAGTATCTATTAACATAAGCAGGGCTTGACCAAAACAAATGTCACCCTAAAACTGTGTGCCTGCTGCTCAACAGCATGGGAAAAGAGAATCCACTATACATTAAAAATATGCCCAGGCTGAGCAAGGCAGGACGATTGCATGAGCCTAGGAGTTCGAGATCAGCCTAAGCAACATACTGAGACCCCATCTCTCTAAGGGGAAAAAAAAAAGAAAAGCTCAAAGCACCAAACCAATTTGTTTTCTATATGCTCCACTGCCTAAAACAGCAGAAAGGCAAAGAGTGGAGGAGACTAGGTCATCTAAAAAGCCAGTGGCTTTGTGCTGCTGCAAAGCCACAGCATGGAAGCAAAGCAGGGTCTCTACTAGGGGAGTAAAAGATTTACAGATGCTACAGCTTGATGCAATGTCCAGGTTAAATCTGGTCCAATCTCCTGTCTTTGGGTAGGTCAGCAATTTGTATCTCCTTTGCAAATGAAGTTAACCTAGCCCAGGAAAACAGTAACTTGCCTAAAGAAAAACAGGTAGTAAGGAGAGAGAGGCAAACACAATTTAAATAACAGGACTATGTGAGAAAAGTAAGGTCGATCGATCACAGAAGGACCTGTTCAGGGCATCCATGGAAACAACATACCAAAAGCAGAAAGATGGACATTCTGACATTCTGAGGGCCTTCATCAGAGACCAAGCTGAGTCGTAATCAGGCTACTTTTTACCTTACAGCCTCATTCTCAAGTTGGGGCACTTGTAATGCAGAAGGTACCACCTGAGCATTAACTTGATCTGAAGACTTGGGAGGGAGAGGCTGGCAGGTAAAAGCATTATTTTTATTAGAAAGCCACACTGCCTGGTTCAGACCCGCCCTGCAGCTTAGCTCAGTGAGGGTGCCAGAGCTGGCGAGCTGACCAGCGCGCCCTCTGCTGGCTGACAGGTAATAGTGAACTTTTTAAAAAAAAACATGATGGATATGTTCCTAAAGACTCTATGTATCAAGTTGTATTTCAAACAAAACCCTAGTATGTATTAGTTGAGGAAACCTGTGGGAAATAATATTTGAAAATGAGAGATAATATGATAATTATTAGTGATAATTATTATCCCCCCCTTACAAACTGAATTTCTCGGGATTTTCTAAAAACAGACGACATGTCAAAAATGAAGGTTGCCTGTATGTCCTTGAAATCACAGGGTCTTGTTACATAATGTGTAGCCCACAAACCAGCAGCTTCCGCACCCAGAAATGCAGAATCTCGGGCCCACCCCAGACCTCCCAACTCAGAATCTGCATTTCAACAAGGTCTCCGGGGACTCCAACGCATACTAACATTTGAGAAGTGCTTCCCCAGACCTCCGTTTCCTCTGTGGAAAATTGGGTGTTGGATAAGAAGCATTTCTAAGGTCGCTTATAGTTCTAAAAGTGTAAGATTTTTAGCGTAAGAAAAAAATTTACATTGAGAACTTAGGAATCTTACATGTCAAATCTTAGAGTGAAAACAATTATAACAAAAACCTTGATGTAAAAATTGTATACGTCACTGGGGGTGATATTCAGTATGTCTAATAACCTGGGGTGCAGTGCAGGCAGGAACCAATGAATGTCATTGCCTACCAGGGCATTGGTGCGGTCCTGTGGGACTGACTCTCTGTGCCAGGAGGTGCTCTTTCGGTTGCTGGTTGGTAGGGGAAGTATTTGGAGGGACATCCAGAGGAGGGCCGAGGTTGGGGGCAAGTGTAAACACTGGGGTGAGTGGACTTAGGATATTTACTAACAAGAATAAAAGTTCTTTTCAATATAACAATCTGTAGCTGCATTCATACACATCAGACAAAATCAGAGTGGCCAAAGTCCAAAGTGATAACCAACTTATTACCCAAAGGTGCTGATACAAACGAATTTAAGTCCAATGGGGAAAAATAACTTTAAAATTCTTTGTAATTTTAGCATGCATATTTCACTCAATACCATGATATTTTACATATATATAAAGTTAACTTACCTTCAACATACGTATTTCTCTTAGTGCTATTTTCTTAACAACAGGATCATCTTCAGATTCCACAAATTTTTTAATAGCTACTACTTGTCCAGAGGTTTTGTTTCTGCATTTGAATACAACCCCATAAGACCCTTCTCCAATCTTAGCTAATTTTTCATACTTCTCCATTACAGCTGAAGTGACTTAAGTTAGTACTGTTAGCGATTGACTTGCAGTACAATGTTACACCTGGAAAATAAGGTAGACTTGCCTTAATCAAGCTATAAAAGACAATGTTCTCACAGTTTATATACAACCAATCTGCCCAGATGCCAAAGGTTTATTTTCATCAATTAATTGGAAATCCACTTAAAAATATTTGGATATTATTTTCTTAGTTTAGTCCTCTGCAGTTCTTCCACCTATCAAAAGATTTCATATACTATTTCTGACAATTGTTCTATGTTGACCTCAGTTGAATTAAAAGAATTTGTGGAAAAGAAACTTATCCCATCGATTGTTTTCATTATCCTCAAATAAATAATCGAAATATGATGCTGTAAAATCCAGCTGAAGGAACATTTCATACTCTGGAATATGCTGTTTATCTTTTCTCTTCCAACCCAAGTGCATACACAATGACTAGGAGGAGTTGTGTAAGAAGATATGGTACAAAAAGTGCTATACTTCCACCTGGTGGAGAGAAGAAAGAGCATGGACCATTGAACAAAGCAGCCTTTAAAACAAAAACAGGCCAGGTGCAGTGACTCACACCTGTAATCCTAAAACTTTGGGAGGCTGAGGTGGGCGGATCACCTGAGGTCGGGAGTTTGAGACCAGCCTGACCAACATGGAGAAATCCCATCTCTACTAAAAATACAAAATTAGCCAGGTGTGGTGGCTCATGCCTGTAATCCCAGCTATTCAGGAGGCCCTTGAACCCAGCTGAGACTGTGTAGATTCAGTAATTGCACTCCAGCCTGGGCAACAACTGTCTCAAAAAGTCAAAACAATAACAAGATCCTTTCAGGGCATTTATTGCTCCTAGTTTTTATTTTCATGGAAGAACAGATTCTGAAGTTCTTAGCCCCGAAAGAAAATAATAAGCACGCAAAAAGCATTCATTCTTCATGAATTCTTTCACATCTATAGTGATTTCTATGGAAATACTGAGTTTTTCTGTTTTGTGTCATCCATTCCTGAATGAATGCTTTGGTGACCAAAGTAAATGTTAAATGGTGACTAAGGTCAACATATTTAAATAAATCAGTTTAAGAATTAAAAATAGAAAAATTCTAATTAGTCTCAAAACCCCACCCCACTTTATCCAGCAGAATCTTGTTAATATAACCTAATAGCAATTACAATAATAATGGCACTTAACATTGTTCTGTGCAAATTACGTAGAATCTGCACAAATATTCTATGAAGTAGGTGTTATTTTTATCCAATTACGCAGATGAGAAAAGACACAGTGAAGGTAATACAGAATTAGAACCCAGGCAGTGAGATCTCAAAGAACACAATTTTAATCACTGCATTACACAGCCTCTCAGTTAAGTGCAAAAGGATGCATAATTCAGCCAGGCGTGGTGCTTCATGCTTGTAATCCCAGCACTTTGGAAGGCCGAGGCAGGTGGATCACCTGAGGTCAGGAGTTCGAGACCAGCCAAGCCAACATGGTGAAACCCTGTCTCTACTAAAAATACCAAAAAATTACCCGGGTGTGGTGGCACTGGCCTCCAATCCCAGCTACTTGGGAGGCTGAGGCAGGAGAATCACTTGAACCCGGGAGGTGGAGGTTGCAGTGAGCTGAGATCGCACCACTGCACTCCAGCCTGTGTGACAGAGCAAGACTTCGTCTCAAAAACAAAAACAAAAACAAACAAACAAAAATAATGTATAATTCGAAGAACCACTTTATCCAGGTCTTGGTATTAACAAAATGTCAAGTGAAAGAGTTGACTACTTGTCAATTTCTCTTGTTTCAAATGAGTACACATTTTCTAAAACTTCTCTAATAATATTGTCTTTTCCATCTGCAGATTATCTCAATGGTGAAAGAAATCATCTACTTCCACTTGCCACCATAAAAATATACAATGGAGAAAAATGTTTACCTGGATAAAATGACTACTGATATACTATTTTTTGCAGTGCTGCTTTTTTTTGGGAGGGGGGATGAATTTGGTTTTCTCTGTTATTAAAGAAAGAAAATTCAAGCACACACTCAAGTAACACATGGAAAATCCATCACAGATTATGTTCTGAAAACCCTATTAGTTATACTGTATTTTTACCTAGGTATTATTATTTTAAAGATAGTTAGATGTGAGCATGCATACATTTGCATAGTAATAGATGGCTGGAAAGAGAGTAGGAGAAACTGGGAATTTGCTTTAGAAAGTTATTAGCATCTGGCTGGGAGCATTGGCTCATGCCTGTAATCCCAACACTTTTGGAAGCCGAGGCGGGAGGTCACCTGAGCCCAGGAGTTTGAGGTTACAGTGAGCTATGATTGTACCATTTTACTACTTCCTGGGTGACAGAGTGAGACCCTGTCTCTAAAATAAAATGCGATAAAGTTATTGGTATAAAACTTTATAGATTTGTTAATTTAACCTACTTGATAAGTACTACAGTTATTGGGGGAAACTATAAATATGACAAAAAGCTTAATAATGAAGTTTTAATTTATGCATTATTTTCTTATTTCTCCCTAGGTAGTTAATTTGATCTATTGATTTATGTTTTTACTTTTTTCTCAACAGATTCAGTAACGACTATTCCTCAGACTAATATTTAGATCTCGTAATTACATCAACCAAATTGCTAAATACGATAAAATAAAGCTCCAGAAAATAGTACCTCACCTAATAACCTCTCAATATTTCTGTTTTCAAAAGCCCTACTATATGTTCATGGAAAATGAGTCTGAGTATGCAAGCTGGAATTAGACCAATTCCTGTAAATTCCTTTCTGGAATTTACAGCTCTAATTCCAGTTTACCAGGATTATAACAGAGTTTCTGGAGGTAGTAATTTCTATTCTCTTATTTGAGATCCAGACCAACTATCCAACTGCTTGATGAACACCTCTACATGAATGGACAGAATCATCTAAAAATTGGAACATTCTAAACCAAAGGCCCTCTCTTCTTTCTTATCCTCTGTCCATACCCAATGTTCACAAACGTGCTCCACATTATGCCTAAATGGCTTGTCAAGGTACACATGGTGGGGGGCTTTGAGGTAGCCAAGGACAGTGACTGCTGCCTAAACCTAATCTCTTCATATATCTTCCACAAAGCAATACAAATCAAACAGGACAAATAAAACCACATAAATCCAATGCCTTCAATATAACAAAGAAGACAGAGGACTCTACAAACTTAGGCAGAAAAGCAAAGCCTAGCCGAGCGCGGTGGCTCACGCCTGTAATCCCAGCACTTTGGGAGGCTGAGGCAGGCGGATCACGAGGTGAGGGAATCAAGACCATCCTGGCTAACATGATGAAACTCCATCTCTACTAAAATTACAAAAAATTAGCCAGGCATGGTGGCATGTGCCTGTAGTCCCAGCTACTCCGAAGGCTGAGACAAGAGAATTGCTTGAACCCAGGAGGTGGAGGTTGCAGTGAGCTGAGATCGTGCCACTGCACTCCAGCCTGAGTGACAGAGTGAGACTCCATCTCAAAAAAAAGAAAAGAAAAGCCCCTAAATTCTGGAGGGGTTATCGCGTGAGCTCCCACTATAAACCTTGGCAGAAGGCAAAGATATGAGACGGATGAGATCTAAAAAGCTGTAAGAAAGAAGAGTAAAAGAAGGGCCTGAGAAAGACTAAGAAAGACTAAGAAAGATCACCTCCTTCCCAAAGAGAAAACACATCACAAGTGTAAAAATACCCCAAGAGTGTCCTGGTAGATCAGAGCACTCACTACAAGGAAGGGGTGTAAAAGGACATGGGTATCAAGGTGGCACTAGTCAGTGTGGCACCATTTTGGGGGAATAAAAGGACAAGAGGGAAGGGAAAGACACCTGTTGGAGACTGGACAGTGAAGGGAAAAAGAAGCAAGAGGGATAAATTTGGCATCTTGCAAGACAAAAGAGAATTCTGAATTGAAGGACATGCGAATCCTCCCATCACCACTAAGATGGGGAAAAAGTGTCATCAGTGAAAGAAACTGCACTTTACTATGGTGACAGAAAAGACTCTCTTGGCCTAGGATGATAGTCAGTTACTAACAGCCAAAACTTGCCCGAGAAATGAAACAGGGGAAAGCCATCCCTGTACAAGCTATTATTGGAAGAAAAAAGAAATGAGAACCCAAAATTTTCAGTTAATGAAAATCATTTATAAAAAAACACACACAAAATCTAACCATGAAGCAAAAGAAAACCAACACAAACACTCTAAACTGATTTAAATATCCTCTCACTATTTGGAGATATGAAAAAGCCACTCTGAAGCAGAAATTCAAATAGTAAAATCACAAGTGGACGAAAATTATTTAAGAATATATATATTTTATTTTTACTTTTTTCCTTTTTTTTTTTTTGAGACAGAGTCTCGCTCTGTTGCCCAGGCTGGAGTGCAATGGTGCAATCACTGCAACCTCCACCTCCTGGGTTCAAGTGATTCTCCTGCCTCTGCCTCCTGAGTAGCTGGGACTACAGGCATGTGCCACCACTCCCGGCTAATTTTTGTATTTTTTAGTAGAGGCAGGGTTTCACCATGCTAGCCAGGATGGTCTCGTGACCTGACCTTGTGATCTGCCTGCCTTGGCCTCCCAAAGTGCTGGGACTACGGGTGTGAGCCACTGCGCCCGGCCTATGTTTTTACTTTTTTCTTTTGGCTACTGATGTGTAGATTTGGATAAAAAGACATAAAAAGATAGTTGACTGAACTCAGAAAAGAATCATCAGAAAAAGACAAAATCATCTCAGAAATGACTAAATTATGAGATGCTGATAGGAGAATAGATTCAAGTGAAAATTTGATTGGGGCATTAAAGAAAGGCAGAACAGTAATTATGAGAATTAAAAGGAAGAAAGAAAGGTAAAAGTTTAGATAGAAAGTTGAAATGGAGACAGGAAAAGCAGTCCCAACATATGTATAACTGGAGTCCCTGAAGAAGACATAACAATGAAACAGAATCAATAGTTGAAATAATAATCCAAGAAAATTTTCTGGAAATAAAATAAAATCTAATTATATATATTGAAAAGGCCCACTAGGTAGTTGGGAAAA